CGGGAGAGCACTACATACTGGCTTACTCCCCACGGCCTTCTCAGCCTGCATTCACATATATATAACCCAGGGCCACCTGCCCAGGAGTGTCCTACCCAAGTGTGAACTGTGCCCATCCTCATGTGTCATTAGCTAAGAACGATTTATAGAGAATAGTCCACACTCTTGCCCCCAGGTCAATATGGTGGCGACATTTTCTCAAATGAGCTTCCCAGATGACTGCAGCTGATGTCAGGCTGGCATTACAAGGAGCCAGCACAAATGCCTTTGTCTTTTCCCTACTTGAAAGGAGAAGGCTGCCTTCAGCCCTTACTGAGATTGGTACTTGGTTCACGTTGTAACTTTGAGCAAGTGTGTCCCTGGTCACGTTTTTGTCTTAAATCAGATCAAAATGCTTTTTAGCATTCGTGAAGATTATTATCATTCTTTAACCTTTCAATGTGGATATTTGTGTTAGTAGGTTTCTTAACATTAAATTACATTTGCAATTAAAAAAAATATTTTCAGGCTGGAGAGATGGCTCAGTGGTTGAGATCTTTGGCTGCTATTCCAGCAGACCCAGATTCAATTCCCAGCACCCACATGGCAGTTCACACCTGTGTGCAACTCCAGTTTCAGGGGATCTGACACCTTCACACCAACGCACATAAAATAAACTTAAATAAATTCATTTTTAAAAACATTATTTTCAATTTTAAAAAGGGCAGAAGCCCCAGAACAAGCCTGGATGGCCCATTGTGGGTTCCCCTACTCTAGTCTGTGGTCAGGAAGAATTCAGGAGTGTTGGTTCCTGTGATTTTGTTACACAAAACAGGTAATGGTTTACCCTAGAACATTGCCTTTTAGGCAAATTTTGGGTTAGATGGAAACATGCTTTAGATAAGGAGTAATTCTATCTGAAGTGTTTCATTGTCGCCAGCAGTTTCTCCTCCTCCTGGGTTGTTTGTTTGTTTGTTTGCCTGTTTGTTTTGAAATGGTCTCTTTATGAAACCCGACTGTCCTGGAATTGCTGTGTAGAACAGGCTGGCCTCTAACTCAGAGATCCCACAGCCTTTGTCTCCTGAGTGCTGGGATTAAAGGCACGAGATACCACACTGGCTGCTTTTTAAAAATATTTGGAATATTTGTTCAGATGTGATGTTGTAATTTTTAAAAATTCTATTCGATTTTGAAAATTTTGTAACTCGCTTTTATTTAAGTGTTTTATTTATTTAGGTTCTTGAGATTTTTTGTTTTGTTTTGTTTTTTGTTCTGTTTTGTTTTCCCAAGACAGGGTTTCTCTGTGTCATCTTCTCTGTCCTGGAAGGCACTCTGTGCAGATATCTGTCTGCATTTGCCTCTGGAGTGCTAGAATTAAAGGCGCGTGCCATCACTGTCCGGCAACTTTTTATTTTTAGTTTTATTTTTTATTGGTTTCTCGAGACAGGGTTTCTCTGTAGCTTTGGAGTCTGTCCTGGAACTAGCTCTTGTAGACCAGGCTGGTCTCAAACTCACAGAGATCCACCTGCCTCTGCCTTCTGAGTGCTAGGATAAAGGTGTGCGCCGCTTCTGCCCAGCGTAACTTTTTATATCTTTATTGTGTGTGTTACTCATGATATGTGAGTGAGTGCAGGCATGCTAGACCCGCAGCTCGCTGTGGAGGTCATGGGACAGCCACCAAGGCAATACTCAGTCCACCATGGGGTCAGAGGGTGAAGCTCAGGTCATATTTATTTATTTATTTATTTGTCCATCCATCCATCCATCCATCCATCCATCCATCCATCCATCCATCC